GCATGACAGCTGCGTATGAATTAATTTAATTTCTGGTGCTCTCACTTCCGGAGACAGTTGTAAGCACTGTGTAACTGCCTCGAGGGTGCTTGACCATTTTAACACAACGTGGTGCGATCATCCCCCTTGCGCGGAGTGAGGGTTCTCCACCCCGCACAACATGATCTACTCGACCACCATTATGGTTACCGCCAAAAAAAAAACCGGAGGTAAAAAAAAAAAAACGGTAACCTGGTTACCGAGTTCACGAAGTGAATTGGCTTGTTTTACAACGTCTTTGCCAAGCGACGAAAACCCAACCCCGATGGCAAACACCGGGGGGGGGCGGGGGGAAGAAAAACCGGGTACTCCTCCGGGGGGTGAGTAGCCAACATCGGGTGCACCCGGTGGAGAGGCGGCCAAGGTCGGGTAGGGGCGGGCGTCGGCCAATCAAATGGTGTCATGCGGTCGCTCCCAGCAGCGTCTTGAAGGGGTTCCCGATTATGGCCGTGTTTTGACCGGGTGCACCCGATTTTGGCCACTGCTCGAAACAAAACCCCTCTTGCGGTGCGTTGTTTCGATTTTTTCAACCCTTCATGGTTTTTGCATGTCGATTACATGCCGTTCCAGGCTCGGTTTCGTTTCTTTTGGTGTGTGCTGCTTCATGTACTAATCTGGTAGCTCCCCTTCCCGTGAGAATTTGGCGTACCTGATCGAGTACTTGGCCTGTTCGTTCTTGCGAGATCGTTCGTGGTTCGCGAGTCCGTTACTTCGTGTTAATGGTCTTTTCGTTTCTGATGTTTTGGGAATATTTCGGCCCCCGCGTGCCTCTTTCCCGATTTTTTCCGCCAACTTTGCTTTCCCCGGCTACTTTGTTCCGCTTCCTTACTTTGTCAACGTTGAGAGGTGCGGGTGGGGTTGTCGAGTTGTTGCATCGTCGATCCCTCCCCTGAACCTCTTGGTTGACTAGAGCCCCGAAGTTTGCTCTGTATCTTCATATACGACCACTCAGGGTGGGTTGCTGTTTTTGTAATTGGAGGTAGCCAAGGGATGGTGCGTTACCATGGAACTTGGCGTTGTCAGATGTTTGGCATGACTTTATGCAAGATTGCGGCTTTAGGCCGAGTCTTGTGCCCTTCAGTTAAGTGTTTGACCGCGGTGGAATTGGGCTTGATCGTTTTCTGTTGGACTCTGGCTGCATGGTGTGCATGCAAGGGGAACGGAAGGCTTAACCAAGGAAGACAAACGGAAAGCAGCAACCTGCATCTGTGGTCGGAAAAGTTCCACACAGCTCAAGGGGACAACGAAGTATAGAAGCTGTCTGTATTATATTTACTAAGTAGACTGCTCGCATCGCCTCATGGTGAACCATGGGTGAACCATTCCCAAACTCCCAGGAGAATTCCCATGGCCTGCAATGGCATGACATTGAAATGATGCTATGGTGCCCCATGAGCAATCGCTTGGAGGTCTATGGCATTCCGTGAGATGGTTCTCATGGTGCGTGGGAGGCTTCATGGTCCGTCATGATGCCTCACGGTTGGTCATTAAACGCCGGTTTTTCACGTTGTGCATTCTCGTTGTAATGTATTGGCTTGAATATGTAGGCGTCGTGGTTCGCCAGTCAATGACATTTTGTAGTAGTATCATGTGCCACACTTGAGGATGGACCCCAAGCCGTCTGCTTGATCCACCGATCAACAGCGGAAGCTCTCCGCACCCCCGCAGTTTCTCCAGCGAATAGCAGGGTACTTTTTTGGAATCGCTTGGCCTATATTGCTATTACCGATAAGACCAGTCCTTTCCGGTAGCGTGTCATCATCCTCTGCCGCAGCCCTCCTCGTCCGACAAAATCGCCCTAAGCGTTGTACCAACGTTGTCGTTGTCTCGCGTTGATTATTTTTGATCGCCCCCCTACCCCTAACTAAACGACCCGTATTTCGCCGATCTCGACGACCTCCCTCGGACAACCTTGAATCTAACAGCCTCCTTCCCCGCAATTTATTCGATTCAGGGAGGGGCTTGAAATTAGGATTTAGGTTAGTGAATAGTGGAAGGGGAGGCGCGTCTATGTCTGGGTGAAGTTGTGTGTGTGTAGTGATTGTATGGTCTGCCGTGTGGGTTGGCTGGCGCAAGAGGGTATGTGTCATGTACGCGAGACACCACGCACACTGGTTTACGGGTAGAGTCGAGCGAGCACCAAAAAAGAAAACAAACCCCGTTAGCTGTTGAGGTCTTTCGTTGCTGATAAGAAACATCAAGGCCATTCCAAACGATCTCTCTTCAGCAGAGTGCTACTGATGCCAACAACCGACTGCTGAAGCCGCGGGGGCAAACGGACACAATCTGCGGCGCTACATATTCAACAGTCATTCAAGCGCGGCAGGCAATAGAGCCGAAACGTTCACCACAAACATCACTAATGCGTTGTGTGGCGTGTGTGTCTGACTATCGGAATAACACCCGGGGGCTCATCGCCCTCCGAGGGACTTTCATCGCCCCCATATCATATTCCGCCATCTATTTAGCGCTGGTGATGTTTTCAAGCAACACTTTGCCAGCGCCCCCCGGGGGTACTACAGGGCATATTTCTCTAGTGCTGCTACCATCATCTAACGGCCATGCCGAGACCGTACCCCAATAGAGCATGGTGTAAGTTGCGCGTTGACCCATGGGGTAGTCACCGCATTGGTGCGTGGCAAAGGGGACATTGGGCGCGTCTCTCAAGCTCGGACTCAATGGCAAAATGCCGGCAAGTCTTGCACATCAGCGCTCTTCCTCTGGACGAGATAACCTGTGTCAGATTAATTCATTTGGACGAGAAACAGGAGATTAGATTACCCGGTCGGGGGGGCACCAAAGCGGTAAACATCAATTAGATAGTCATTTCCGACTGCGTATTGTGAACGCGGCTCTTTCGTACCTGTCCGGAGACCGTGCATGCTTGATATGAACGCCCCTCGTCCAAGCACTCCAGACAGTGCGATTCCAACGGCTCGGGATCAATGGGAGGGTTCCGCGTGAATATCTTCAAAGCTAGAGCCTACGGCGATTTCACGAGAGCGCGCGTGCGTGTCACGGAAACAAATAGTGGACTTGCGTTGTCAGGGTCAGAATACACTTTTGAGTGCCCTCCAGCTCTTCGACGAGAAGAGCCACAAGGTCCCGACAGACCGGCCGAAGAAAGGTCATGGTTATTGGCCGCGTACAACGTTTGGCTTTAAGCAAGAATAGAGTACACAGCATCCATGTCAGTGTGTGCACGGTTCCACGCAGGGGTGCACATTTCGTTTCTTGACAAGCAACTTACGGTCAAGACTAGACATTCACCACATGAGGCGCGTACCTGGGCCGCCTCCAACTGCTCGGTCGACTGATTAGGGAGAATTTCCAGCTTCACGAACGCCCTGTTGAAGCGTGAGAGCAGAGCAAGGGTTCGGCTTCACGCCTTAGACAAGCCGTAGCCTAGATCAACGTTGGTGCAAAGAACCGCCGCCCGCGAGTAAAACTCATTGGTCTGGACGTTGTGATGACCCAATATATATCCAAACCCGCGAACATGGCTTTGCGAAGGCGCTACTACTGTAGGAACATGACAATCGTGAACGCAGACGTGCCTGTAGGGTACGTCACCTGCTGCACACGCCCATGTAGCCGCTGTGGTATGCCGTCAGTGCGACGAGGCAATATATGTCCCAAGGCGAAAGGATGTCCTCAAACTCAGCACACCTTGCGATTGGCAATGACGGACGATTCATGTTATATTTACGAAAAAAATATGGCCGTTAGGCGGAACCTGCGCCCGGAAGCTTCACGACATACTGTATCTAGACATGGTCCTCGCAGGACCTCTGGTTTCATCCGGGAGAGAAAACGCGTGGTTTATGGAAATAAGTGCTTCAGTGCTAAATGCTGATCGAATTGTCGAGCTTGTTCCCTTGAGTCTTGAAAGTGTCTTCGGCACAACGTAATGGGACGTTCGGAACAGACCAAAATCAGCTGACAACGTGCTGGTCAACAAACAATACGTACTGGAAGCAATTAACATCGATAATCAACCAATTTTCGCGTCGGCCCCCGGCTCACCTTATGGCTGTCCGCACGGCCTTGTCCACTTTTCCCTGATACAACTGACGCTGAGCAAGCATGTAGTAGTGGTACGCCTCTGCCCCTCTCCAGGCGCTGTCGAGAACCTGGCCCCGCACCATCCATTTCTCAGTGCAGCAACTACACCCGGTCAATGCACGAAAATTTCATTCGCCCTCCCGCTGATTTTGGGGGTAAATAGCAACTACTCGAGAAGGGGTTTGCCCTCGTAAACAGTTATCTCGCGCAGGCGAGGCCAACCCAATACATCGCGGTTTCATTGGCTTCGTGTGATATGTTCTTCCCTCCATGTGTCTTTGTTGAAGTATCTGAAACCATGAAAAATCAAGAGTGAACTCGCTGCCATGATGCTCTCGCGTAAACTTTCCAAACATATTTCTCGGTGCTAGCTGATGCCCGCGAGACGCACCTTTGCCGCTCTCTTATCTTCGGCGTTCTCTGACGTGGTGGCCATGAGAGTGTTAAGCGTGGCAGCCGTGGCGGCCGCTACCTCTGCGGCTGACCTCCCCTGTCAGTACGTTGAAGCCGTCGGTGGTTGGCGTCGAAGGGTTACGCAAAGGATTTTCCGAGCCGAATCCAACTGATTGTGCAATCGACGGATCGGCACCCAGAAATGAAGAAGGACATTGCACAAGTATCTGTTACTTCAGCATCACTCGATCATACCCTGGGTCGCGTCGACAGGTCGCATTTCGTTAGGCTTGTCGCAAACCCCAACAACCTACTCCAACGGTGTTGGAATCGGTCTGTGAACGAGGGTAGCTGGAAAACGCTTTTGTTGGAAAGAAACCTTTCAGCACAGGTGTTGCGTGTAGATTTGTGGCAGAAGGGGTGCTTGTGTAGCCTCGAATGAAGATTGGGACTTGAATCGCGTTTCATCTTTGAGGATTGCTTTTGGGTCACCTGACGAGATGCGCCGGTCCCTCCGAGAGCAATCTTTCTGTGACGCTCCACTTCGCAGGCCGCGAGTACGTGCAGCTTCTTCGCCCTTAGGGGATCAACTTGCCTTCGGCCTGCCCGTTGTTTCCGTCGTAAGGGTTTCACACGATTCAATCCCGGGGAACGCTTCAGGGGGGCATGGCTCACCCTCTTGCGGTGCGGACGCACTCAGGCGTTGTGGTGTAGTTTCCGACGGCTTTCATTCAGGACAGTCGACGGACTTGCACATAACCCATACACGGCAGATAAAACGGTTTCCTCTTCAGCTGAGCATCTGCCCGTCTTCTGAAGAAAGAGTATGTGCCACTGTTGACGTCCTTCGTTTTTAGCCGACGACCGAGGTGCGTCTACTTCAAAAGAGAGAGTCTTTTGACGCTTCTTTGGAATATCGAAAATGATGTTCGAGGAGTGACAGCCGTGGGAGGCATGAAGAACGTAAACCTCACCCGCATCTTCGGCCAGTTTTGCCAGGAGAAGCGCGGCGTCGGTGGCCTTCCCAGCCATGCGGAACACCTCAACCGCCTGGAGAGGGTCACCCTTCTGCAAGAGCTGGCCCGTGTGGCGCACCAACAATGCCTCAATCTGAGGGAAGTCGTGCTTCTCTGCGAGGTCGACGGCCCTTGAGAAAAGTCCGCATGGAGACGAAAGGATGCGTAGCAAAGGCGGTACTTGTTCGTTTTTCATTCGATCGAGTGCAACAGCCTTGTCCACGAGCACCGCCGGCTTTGGGTTCGTCACCGTAGCAGGTGGCAAACGAAACTTATTTCTTGTTGTCGCGGTGTTCCGAAAGTGAGAGATGGCCTGTTATAGTGATATCCTTCATCTCAATAGCAGTCAAAAGGAGGGTTATCACAAACAATTTGTTCCATATGTTGTTCAGGTACCAATTCCGAAGATGGCCTTGCGCACGTCAACCCTCTAGCTTATCTCAGACCGGCACGAGCTACACAGAAACGAATGTGTAAGGTGGATTCGTTCATATCTACCGAGAGACTCCTCGGCTTAGAAAAATGAGTATTACTCATGTCAGCGTGATGTCGGTGCGAAATGATTGTACCGAGGGAAGGCGACGACGTCGTACAAAATGTAACCTGCGTACTTGAACCTCCATCATCGCTATAGCCGGAGAGTTCAAACCCCACACCTTCTCCAGTGGTTGAGCCTGATGCAGGAGTCGATCGCTCCCTTGTGGTCCCCGAGCCTTATTAACGCCCGAACCGAGTCTTCCCCCAGCCCCACCGATTCGAACATGGTGCCGAGTTCGGCGAGCTCGGTCGCTCCATGCGGGAGTGTGTCCACCAGCTCCCTAAGGCTGGCATACTGTTCTAACCTATCGGGCATAACATTCACGGTAGGTTTCCGGTAAATCGAAATGTGGCCACAGAAGGTGATGCGTGCTCAATGACGCCCGATTGACCCACCGAGCAAAATGGATGTTGGGTTGATCTAATGTACGCACTGCCACTCTGAATGTGCCAATCAATATCACCTCCCAATGGGTGAAATCGCGCCCGTCGTGATTCGTGGGGGGCACCCTCAACTAGTCGCCCCGGTGGTCTACTTGGTATCCTCGAAGCCTTCTAGAGGTCAGGTCAGGGGTTCGAATCCCGGCGTAAGCGAGCTTTTCTTGCAAAGTGAGTTTTTCTCTCGCTTCCGCTCCTGGCCTAGTGGATAGCGCTAGTCCGTGTGTACACAGAGTGAAGAGAGTGCTGAACTCTCCTCGCAGTAAAAATCGAAGGCAAAGTATCGCAGGAGGGGAGGGTAGAGAGGGGCTCACACGGGTGGGAGTAAACGGCACCAGTGCTGTGAGCGCTGATTTGAAGTGGAGGCAAAAAAAAGAAACAAAAAAACTCACACCGGGAAAAATATCAGGGATGATATCTCGCGGTGAGTACAATGATCATCAATCATATTTTGTGCACAGTGTGTTCGATCTGTGTCTGCAACGAGTCTTGGAAACGATTTTCGCGTGCCTGTTCAACTTCTACCACGAAAAAACGATGGGAACACGTCTGATTGCAAAATCCTATGGTACGGCACTAGTGTGCCCACGAGGATATGAGTCTCGTACCTGTAGTAACATTCCGCCACCATCCTTAGATCCTTGGCTTGCTTGAAATACTGCACAGCCTTGCCCCACTTTCCCCGCTCCGTGTAGTACGCGCCAATCTTGCCCCACGCCGTGCAGAGCTGTTCGTCGTCGCCCCCCCCTTGTTTCATCAGCTGCAGCAAAGTTGTTCGTGGTGGCGCGGGCGCGAAACACACCCAACACAGAGGCAACACCGTCAGCTTCATGACGCTACGGCACTATCAAGCCCGCGGACAGACAGGGTGCCATGCTGCTACAGTATGGTGTGCCAGATTTATTTTCAAAAGTTGAACGTGTTGCTGCTGCTGAGATTTAATCAGCCCATGCAGGACAAGATATCAATAGGACTGTGAATCGTTTTGGTGAGCTCGGTTTTTTTGTTTTCGCGGTTGTGGGTGTAGTCTATTTGTGGTGGTTTCAACTTTTTCCACGTCAAAGGCATGAATCACGTCAGAGCTGCACTGCTGTCAGATGTCGAGCTTCCACTTCATGATATTCTCATCTGGTGTACTGTGCGGTAGAGGCCTAAATTGTCTACAGTGGAGCATATTGTTCCCCGCACCGTCCCGAAGCGCGCCGGCCCGTATGGCATCTCAAAACATTCAACGATTACTCTCCAGATTCCGGCAGTTGCCCTTGACCAAAGGAGCGTGGTCGAAAAAGTTATTCCATCTAACCACGAAGGCGCCTGCAGCGCATACAATCCTCTTTGTACGAACTCATCCACAACCCGGAACCAACTCCAAACCACGGTTGTACTAAACGGGGGAAAGTCCCTTGCCTTTGCTGCGGCGGAAGGGCAGCTCTCAGATGCGGGAAGGAGCAAGGGCTGCTGTTCATTTGATGTAGATATAGGCTATGTTGAAAGAGTCGCACCAGTCGGCGAGGGTGACTCCCCTGTCGCCGAAAAAGGGGAAACTTAGACATGATCCCACCAAGCTCGAGGGTGCGTATGGTATGTATGTCCCATCGCATGAGTTATGTTTCCTCTTGTCTTACACCCGCGAGCAAAACTTTTTACATCATCTGTAGTGGGACACGGTGAAAGGGCGCCCACAACGTCTGGCCTATCACCTGTACGACCCTAAACCAGTCCCCGAGCCGCTCCCTCAAAGAAATGGTCAGGTCTCTCCGGTCGATCTCTCGCAGCATGTTCTCCGCCTCATCGTGGCGATCGAAGTAGCTATACACCTCCGCCCGGCGCCTTATCCTAGTGGTTGTAGCGGGGGGAAAGAAGGGGAGAGTACTGGTGACATGGCCGAAACTGCAATAGTGTTACATCGGATGTTACCCCATTCTTCTTGTACTATACCATGCAGACACATATGTCGCTCGGATTGAGAGGTGCTTCCACAATAATGCTTGCTGACCTGTCCGAGATGTTGCCCAGTCGCTTGACTAGACGCACACCGTGGAAAGCATTCTTTCCGCACATAACGAACGCTTTTTCGGCCATGTTGAGATCCAGGACCTCCAACGCCTGCTGAGCAAGCAGCTTCCAAAGGCTGATTGTACAACGCGCCCGCATGTTCAAAGAAGGAAAGTAGGCAATGTGAGGCATCATACGGAAACGGGTGTAACAGCCGGAAATTACATCATCACCAGCATTTTGGACAACATCGAGTACGCAAGAGCGATTGTGGTGAAAGATTAGGGATGGCACGAACCTTCTACGGTACGCTCCTTGTTTTCGGGCTTGTGAGATGTGGAAAGCTCAACCCTACGTACAGCAGCTATAAAGTTACAATCGCCATCATATTTGAAGGGTCCGCGGGAAAGCATAGAAGAAGGCGTTCCTCGTGCTGGATTTCAATCGGCCAGCATCTCCACCCCCTCCCGTAAGTACGACCTCCTAGAACTTGGCTGACAGATAGAAGCAGCGCAGGGGAAGTCGCGGCCTCACGAGACACAAGGACTCATGGCGCGATGTAGGCCCGACATTTCTCGTTTGAAATATTGCAAGCTTTCGCTGAGCGGCCACGCTGTTGGTTGTTGAGGTCGTTTCTTGTTTTCAGCTGAACGCTGCCGTGGTTCTATGGCGGAAGCACACGTAAATTCGTAACAAGTTTGATATGACGCCAAAACCTACCGTACTGGGACTTGCAGGGGGGCTTACCGGGGATGGGGTTTCTTCGAGATGGCCTGGTAGGCCTCCTGCAGACCGTCCGTGGTAATCAGCTCCCGTGCCTCTACCAACGCGCCAGTTTCGACGTCGACCACTACGGACCTGGGGGCGGGAAACAGTGGCATGAATGCAAAACGGAGTGTATGAACATGGTGAACCCGTGCACCAGTAACGTGCGGGGATGTGTCCCCACCGAGGGTTCACGGTAAGGTAGATCAATCATATCGTATATCACCCGATGCTCACCCAGGGAGTGTCAAGTGCGGTTTTCCGCGTGCCTGTTTCAATCAACGACGTTGTTGTTGTGGATAGTGTTTTCGTATTTCTTCTAGCCACGCGCGTGACAGATTTCAGACAATCCATATGCATGATCGATGGGGCGATGTTGATGTAGTTTTCGATGCGGTGCGATTCGCAGTTCCCACGCTCTCGGGGTTGTTGTGCATGTCGCTTTCACACCGATCTGCGTGAACTTCTTCCCCTCGGCGCCTTTTGAGGGAGACTGTGCGGCGTGTGTCGAGGATAACCAAGGCACCATGCTGATCAACTTGCTCAGCCCGCCTCCATTGTCACTCCAAGGGAGAGGGACGCTGTTCCAAGCAAATTCCTCGAGTCCGATATCTATCGCCCACGCGTTGAAAACATCGCCAGGAACGTTTGACTGCCCCCGAATACTTGCCGTTGTGGTCCACGATGAAGACCCCTTAAGACTTCGATTCACTTCCTGTGGCACAAGCTTCGATACTTTGCAGCATGGCCCAACTCGCGAAAGTCACGAGTGGAGACGGTACGCTCCATGACCCCCTACCCCAAACAGTCTTTTCCGTGCATGGAAATTACTGGTGCAATTACGGTTCTAATCTAGGTTCAGTTTTCCGGAGGAGAAACCAACTATTTTCGAGGTCCACAACATGGAGTGAAAATCCTTGCGTGCCCGAACGAATGAGGCTAGTTTGCGAGTCGGTGTGGGGCTGGCGTTGTGTCACCTGTCTGGGCTTTCGGGTGCCGCCATGATATCATCCAGGTCCACCGTTCGGGCCTCGAGTCCCTCTAACCGGCACAGATTTCGGGTACACGGCACGGGCTCTTCAGCTTCCCCGTTGTTAAACACCACCATTTTGGTTTTTTCCATTGCCGCTAACTGCGCGGATGTTGGGACAGCAGAAGAGGCAGTAGAGGCAGCAGCCGTGGAGGAGGCAGCGAGTGAACAATTTCACGGGTACGCTACCGGTCTGATGAACTCCTCCGTTCAAGAATTGCTGCTGCACCTGTTCGCTGCATTCGACTCATCAAAATTCGAGACATTCGACGACCTGTGGCTTCTATCTGCAGCGATGGAGGCAGTTGCCAAGGCGTCAACCTCAGCACCTCCATGACGTTTTTTCCAACTACTTGGCGTGTTTCAGCGATACGAATCTCAGTGTGCCAACCAAAATATCGTCATCGCACGATCGCTGTCACATGGGTGCTGATGCGATTACTCAATTAGATCGAAATATTTCATTGCTTGCGAACCATGTAGACTGAACCATAAAGCTCATTGAGAGCCTAAAGCAACCACCGTAGTCTAAGGGTTGTCCTGCTCTAGAGCACAACACAGCCTCGGGCACACCAGCTACGGCGAGCCTGAGTGTTCAAGGTGGCCCAACGCTTCGAAACTGCCAGCTCGTCTTTCGTCGCCTAAACAGCTCTCAACACGAATCAATGTGTTTCAGAAGATGATGCTCACCTGATTAGGATCATCGGTTGCCCATACCATGTCCCACGTATCTCGCCTCTCCAAGCTTGCCCAAGGTCCGTTGTCCAATGATTCTCTTCCTGCTCCTTTCGAGGTGTCACCAGGGGACTGCGTCACGCAACACCGGAACGTCCAGTTCAGGTATGCCCCCATTGTCAATGGCCCGCACAAGGACAATAGAGCCACGGAACTTAACAGCACGGTGCACTGGCTTCATGTGTTTTGCTACGGCGTCCATGCTACAGGGCATAGGGGATCCCCGCCCCTAAATCTCCACCTCTACCGTCGGCCTCGACCACGCGGGATGCCGAGCAACCCACGCGATTTCGCAAGTACTGTATGTCCAATCGAACCCATCCACACGTAAAAGCAATCTCCATAGGTTGCTGCTGGTTCGAATAACCCTTCCATCCAATATCACAATGTTGTTCTCTACTTTCAAGGCGTGGGATTCCCACCGCTTGGACAACAGCATCTTGAAACGGCCGTCGACCTTCATGCTCTGTCTAGTGTCGGATACAAGCGTGTCTGTTGGATTCACACTTCGTGGACTACGTTTCGAGACCACATAGTCTACACTACAGCCAACCACCACTTGATTCGAATATTTTCATTACGTACGGTGGTCTCCCTTGTCGCCCTCACAGAAAGGTAAAGGGAGTGGATATTGTACTGTGACATTCATCAGGCGAGCCAAATAAAGGGACTGGAGACTTTTACAGGGTATTCCCACGTTGGAATCGAGGTCTTGGACGGTAAGCACTCCGGTCGCGTCAATGACCGCCAGTAAAGAGCTGTTGAGGTTCAATGCCATCTGTTGTGGCTTCGACCGCACCGTGAAACTTCGAAACAGTAGACGAGGTGTATCGGGGGAAGGTTTTGGCAGGAGAGGGTATCAAAGCTGAGTTTAGCGTCACATTGGTTGGTTATGCATCTCAGTCGGACGGGCATTGTCGGCGAGGAAAAGGACGGTCTAAGCGTCATACTATTTCCGGGGCCAAATAAGCGGTTCTAACTTTGGCCCGCTCTGCACAGCAATCGAATCTCAGAAGCACTGGGAGTCCGAAACGCACCAAACGAAACGCACCAATACAACAAGGGCTGAATTCGAGATGGACAGGAAGGAGCTACTACTGAGCATACAACAGCATGCACTGAAAGGTTCAATATGCGGGTTTACAAGTCAGGTTCTCCGCTTGGGGTCTGGAATGGTCTACCTGTTCTCCCGGCTAATGTGGGGCAGGGTGTAGCGGCAGATAGTGCCGTCCTCTCTGCCGAGAACAAAACAGCTCTCAGACACAGCCACCGCTGCAAAACAAGGAAGATAGTGCGGCGAGGCAGCGAGGGGGGGGTGGTGAAGTGCGTCAAAGGCAACTGGAGACACCTGGACAACGTGTCCCTTTGGCGAACTTCCCTATTCATCGAACCATTTTCACTTGTTCGGTTCTTGATATCGTCGTTCCCTCCTGATTCGTGCAGCATTGTCGTGTTTGTACCGGATGATGCCCGCGGCTTGATTTCTGACTCGGCCGTCTGTAGTAGTCGCCTCTGCATTCATCGACTGCTAAAGGGGCCCAAGATCCCCTTAAATCGTGCTTTAACCTTCACCCTATGGTCTGAACTTTGCGATCGAGTTAGAAGTGGCCGTCGCTTCACTCCCTGGGGGAACACCATACGACGCCGGACGGTATAGCCTGAAGCGCGTTGATACCATGCTCTTGGGCATGCCGACCGTGACTCTCGCAACGGCGATAGGGCAGATACCGTGTATCGAAGTCGGGCGTGGGTACACCAAAAAGGTCGTTTACAGCAGGCCTCACCCGCTACCGCCGCCCACAACACCGCTTGCGAGGTATAATAGCTTGACTTATTAGCGCAATCACCTGTGATTGGGTTGGAGTTGGATTCGTCGTCGCCCCCCGCAGGACCGCCGTAGGCCTCCGGGGCGCAGGCGGGGGACGCCAGGTTATCCGGGTCAACGACTCGCTCGCGGCCGGCACCGGGCGTGCGCTTGAGGGCCATGGCGATTGCCGTGGCGGAGTCACTGTCTCGGAAGGGAGAAGTTTCCTGTCGGCGCACGAGAGAAGATCATTTCGTGTAGTTGTGGTTGCCTTTCTCGTGGACCACCCAAGAAAGCTGTGCAAATATCGGTAGCTGCTAAGCGACGTGTCTGCCGTTTTCGGTCCTGGACGTTAGGGGTAGTGCTGGCACTAATCCTGCTGCTGAACGTCGGGCGGGTTGGCGCGGTAGGAGACGTTTGCCCCCCAGCTTGTAAAACATACACAAACGTTGGGTGCCTCATAGCTCGACGTTCTGTCTTGTTCTGCCGCAGCACTGTCAAAATAACACCTTGAACGCGTCTGCAGATGCCCATGTTAGGTGTCCGTTGCGACTGAGTAGCGACATGCCTGGTTCTTGTACTGCCAGACGTAGGCCGCCGCCGCCCCTGACACGACGACGTGGGCTCCACTCATGGCCATCTTCAAGGGAGCAATGCCGGCTGGGAGGGCACGTTCCTCAAGAGTGGATCCGATCGAGTTCACCAGGATCAAGGAATGCCTGCGTTGAACAAATCGAAACCACCGCAGAGTACAAAAACGATGGCAACGTCGGGCTCGCGAAACGGAGAAGACAGTTGGCAATTATCGCAGCAGCTGAGGACGATGAAGTACGTACCACAAGAGGATTTGAAGTGGAAGCGTGAGTACCGAAACCGAAGAAGAAAACCAACAAGCACCGACAACTGAGAACGAGGCGACTGCAGGGAGGCGATTTCGATGCAACTCTACGGAGCCTTTTAGTCCACCTCCGGTGTTTGCCAGGTCCCCCGGCAGACGAACGTGAACTTTTCGGCCTACGGCATGTTTGCGATTCGCAAGGTGTAGGCATTGAGAAATCCTCTCACCACGACAGCAGTGGCAACCAGTTTTGTCGTGTGGTTACCCTTGGAAGCTGTGTGTCCTCTGTTTTGCGTCTGACTCACCTTCCCCTGTCGTCTGGGCCTGTGACAAGGCACACGTGCTCCCCACCCCCACTGACAAGCTTCAGGTTTCGGTGCGGCTTCACGCGCTTCTCCCCTGCCTTTAGGTCCCAGAAGCAAACCTGTATGCAGATAGGGACGGTCGTTAAGGTTCCCGGATACGACAGTGGACCTGAACAAGCACTGCTTTGGGAAGAACTCGCTTTCACGAGGCCCTGTGCATTCTTCTTCACATTAGAAATCAGTGCATCGCTGGTGAAAATACCGTGCTAAAGTGGCGAACTCCCCCCTCGCCGGCCTTCAGCTAGATGTCATAGGAATGGTCTCAGTACAACCCTCAACAACACTACCTAACGTGTTTGACTCATTAGTGCATCGCATTGTAAATACCTGAGTGTCCATCCTGTCGGCCTTTTGGTAGGCGTACGCAAGTACCTCGCCGCCCGCAGTCGATGCCCAAGCGTAGTCAGGACTGTAATGCGGTACGTATGCGTTTGTCCGTCACACGAGGCATCTCTGTGACAACATGTATTGAAATACACCACGCACATATAGGTATATCTATCCGTGGTCTTGAATATCATATTTGTGTTTTTAGTAGTTCACAACGAGAGCCGTGCTGACCCATATCCAATGCCTCCTGTTCCGGCCTTTCTAGAATTGGCGTCCGTGTTTACGAGCTCAAGCGACAAGGTACGAAAAAAACAAATATCCAGAGATCGTTCACCACTCCGAAACAGGAAAAGCTCCTAGAAGAACATGAAAGGCCGAGAACTTCCTTCGGTCTCTCAAACCGCTACAACTTGGCATTTCGACGTGCTACCATGTGGACAAAGCGCCGGCATCTCTCCCTTGCTGTTGAGGCTCAAATGTAGGCAAGGTTGTCATCGAAAATCTTTACATCCACCAGCCACCAGGCCAGCAGACGCAGGTCTGACAACTCTTGCACACATCTTTTTCTCGTCGCATTGAAAACCTCGTTCTGGTGACACTTGTTCGGGGCCACGCCGACGGTACCAAGGTGTGCCGCACGTGCACGCATGTACGTGAACCAAACATTCCTGACAAGAATCAGGCCGTCGTACTCACCGAATGTTGGCGAAATATATGTAGGCGTCAACAGCGAGGGCGATTCTCAATCCTCCACCCTCCCACGCCATGCTGCTGATGCCGTTGCCCGGTACCTGCCGCGATTCACATTCGGGTGGTCATCGTAACACATCGAATAGAACCAGGAAATACGTATCTGCAGCGGCACGTGGAAACTCTTCACCTTGCACGAACGAGTCAAAACAAAAATTTGCGTGATCTTCCGGCACCCTCGAAACTCTTGGGTGGTCGAAGTCGTGGGTCCCATCCCTGACGTGACATTCGATTGAAAGAGCTTTCAGGTGATTTTGGAAGAGTTTGGCTTTTTTGTTGAGGAGAACAAGAAGACCCACTGACACGAATTCGACGGCCCTCAAGAGAATTCGTTTGCATGTCCTCGGGTCGTCGCTCGCTAGCGTAAACTTACAAGCGTGGACCGATCGGTAGATGCTGTGCGTTGCAGTGGGAGCTTGGGATGGTTAAAAGCAGTACCAAACGACAACGAGGTAGTACATCATGATAAACCAGCCGTGTAGAAAATGCGATTGTAACACAAATCCTTGTGCAGAAGATTTTTCGGAGGTAGCCAATCTGTCATCGGCCAACCAGCGTGCGGGATCGATTTCATCAACCAACCAAGTAACAACCAATACCCGTACCAACCTTGAGCGTGCGGAGCGGTACCCCGTAGGGGGAGTAGAGTTTGACAACGGAAAGCTCTCTCGACTGCCCGGACTTGCTGAGATGCGCCGTGGCGACCCCACTCAAGGCTAGCACTGTTCCGTTTGTGTTCCATCGGGCCTGGAGTAGTATTGGAGGGGTGTTTCGGGATAATATTCTGGGGAATGGGTCAACTCGTGTTAGGAGCGGGAACATTTTCACATCGCATAGCACGGAACTCGTCTTTCGTACCACATGTTTCTAGTTCGACTTGGACCACGTTGTGCTTCACCAGCGGGATTGTTGGTGCGCCCCTGATTCTTGAGGGGAGGATGCAAGCGATCTGGGCAAACGATAAAGAAATGTTTTATTACACAAGCGTGGACTTGACTTTGGACGGTCGAAAAGTTGCAACTATTCCACAAGCGAAGACGAGGTTAACAGTCCCGTAGAACGGACGGTATCCAAATCGCACGTTTCGACACCAAATCCATGTCATGCACTCGCCTGCCGAATTCTCATGTGCGCGTCCACGACAAGGGGTGCCGCATTGTCGTCCACGCCCCTGCTCAGCTGCACGAAGCCCCCATCCAGCGCAATGCACAGCGTCGGAACTTGCGGGTGCAGGAGTCCCTCGGCACCGTCATACCAGTCCACGAAAATGACGCGCCCTTTCTTCCCCTCCCCCCGTTTTCGTCCACCGGTTTTCCCCTCCCCGCCTTTCACTTCGTCGTCGGAGTCGTCGTCGTCGTCATCATCCTTTTCGTCTCGCAAAAACGCCGGTTTCTTTTTGCTGCCACTGGTCGGACTGTTGGCACCGGTGGAGTCCGGGGTGATCTCCGCTCCCTCGGGCAGGGTCATGGCCCTCAATCGCTTGCCCTGGGCGTCGTAGATGAGGACTTCTCCCACCGCCGTAACAAAGAGAATCCTGGTGTATGTGGTCAGATGGAGAGTCGGTTGCACGTAGATCAGGATGGCTTTTCTAGCTGGGACAGCTTGGCTCGGCGACGAACGGGGTGTCAAGGTTTGGGCAAGCATCTTGTGTAGCGGCGGGGCTACTTCCACATTCCTTGGGGGGAAGGCTAGGACTTACCGGCGACCATCGGGAGACCACTCGACGTTCTGTAGCCCCATATCCAGTTCCTTACCCCAGAGCCTGTTACCGTCGACGGAACCGACGATCACCGCCCCGTCGGCGTAGATGATACAGATCTTCTGCCCGTCGCTCGTCCACTGCTCAGGGTAAGGATCCACAAAAGGGTCGACCCGTTTGGAAAGACGTACAGCTACCAAGAGATATTACCAGAGCGGCTAGTGTAAGACGCTGCCTTAGATGAACGCCACTCAAATGCAATGGGGCCCTCCCGGACCCTATATTCGGTGTTGTATCGATCCTTGACTCTCTGTTTGATACAAAATCCATACGTCTCTAGAAAAGTTGTCGAACATGTTCTCCATAGGTTCTCCCGAAAGCTTCCTCCTCAACGAATTGGGCAACAGACCACTTCGAACCCCCTGGTGTGTGACGATTCACACGGGGGGAAAACATTGGGCATTCGATGGTGGTGCTCCCTACCGACTGACCTTCATGTCCCTCACGGCACTCTTGTGTCGGTTGTTGATCATCTCTTCGAACCAAAGGCCCTTGTGCAGCATCCACACGATGATCAACCCCTGCTCGTCGCATGTCGTGAGCTTCGAGTACGTTGCGTTCCAGGTGACACACACCTGTAGTTGTTTGCCAATCCGAAACCGTCACCGAGTTACGCTCACCGGCTGGTTCTGGCCTAGGGAAACGACCGTCTTGTCAGGTTGCTAGTACCTCAAAAAGATTCCTTTCGTCGATGTTGGGAGAACTTGTCCGCCCATATCGCCTTGACCTCTTTTTTGAACGGAGCGTTGTTGGTTGCCCGGGAACGCACACCGGACGCTGCTGACTTGGGTTTCATGTCACTATTGAACGCATACCTTGACATTTGACGGGTCAATTCTAGTACTGTAGCGAGCCATAGAACAATCTCCGGTACCATCAAATCGCTGGATCTACCTTCTGTGTGGGGTACCAGAATAGCGATATGGTCTACAGGTCAAAGTATTGTTGCCCACCACAGAACCCTCGTGCCCCTCGAGCGTTTGGTTCATGCTGAGGTTGGAGCCCCCGCCGCCGCCCGCTGCCGCACCACCTCCCCTCCCGCTCTCCGCATTGGCCTCTTTTCCTGGAGCTCCCCCCGCTCCACCTCCGCCGACAGAGTCCAGCTTTAGGACCTACGCAATTCGTGGCGATTCAGAGAGCGCATGCCCGTGTGCATAGTTTTAGAATTTGCCTGATCCACCGTCCTGTTAATGTTCATGACTCCCTGCCGATTTATGTTCACCTTCAGCATTGGTGTGATACTCGTCTCCGATACTTCAGGCTGTCGTCCCAGTATTGTCTAGCTTGAACGCATACATGCATGGGAAGGTTCACAAGGCACCGCCAACAAATGTCAGAGATTGTGCCTATCAACCTATCGCCGGCTACTCCCCCACCGTAACTATCGTCGCGGTTCCTTCTGGTGACTGAACGAGATGAAGGAGAGTTATCAACAGGCTCACAACGGCAGCGATGTCCATATGCCATGTGCCACAGTGCGGCCATGCAATCATCAAACTATGTACCGGGCAGGCACCACTTGCTAGTCAAATCAAAAGGCTTGTACACAACACATCCCAACGGGGGCCGGCATGGATGGATTGTCCTTCCATCATATGTGAAAATACAGTAGTCTACATGTAGGCTCGACAACGTTCTCAAATTATACTGGCCAGGAATACAGTACACGTGCAGTGATGACACCAATGTGTGGAGAGTGACTACTGTAGGCATGCCAGTAAAAAGAGTGCCGGATGTTCTATGTTAGCGCTACAGCAGTAGCGTGGCAGATGATGTGGGTTCGAAGGACCTGAGCTGCATCGCACTTACAGCCTACCCACGAGGTTGGTGGATCCAAAAATAGACGGCATGCGTTGGTTCAGCCGCATGCGTAGCTACGACGTCCTGAATCAAGGGCGTTCCTGGCGTGTTGTCAACGATAGCGTGTTGCATGAGAAGCAACACAGGACATATTGCCACGTTGAGCTCCTACACGCACTGCTGTGGACTGCGCATCTTGTGTGGCAAGCGACGATCGTCATCAACCCGCAGTCATTGATACCTTTATGAGGCCATTAGATCCACCGCACGCAATCCACCCTTGGGCAGGGTTCCACGCCAAGCTGTCGAGTTTCGTCCCATTCGGAATAGCTATCTTTTTGCTCAGGTAGATGAACATCTCTGGTTCCTAGAACAAGACACTTTGCTGCTGTCCGTCGGCGGGTGCTCCAGCCCTTTCTTCGTTTCCAAGCTCCCTCCTAATGCGCTTTCCCTGCTCGGGCAGATCTCTTTTCTGAACTACCAAATCTTAGCATAGAGAGCTTGGCCAGGATATAAACCGGCAGCACGTTGGATCTTCCTGGGAATGTTGTTGTTGTTGTACTAAAAAACCTCTCAACCTCTTTTTGTCAGCGACGTTTGGTCGCAAAGTGAAAAAAAATGCTGGACTGTTACATGTCAGGGTTTTGTATAGAATCTACCTACTGTGTTTTCTCCATCCGTAGTAGCTGTGTAGCCCCTTGTGACGAAGCGGTGAGCGGCACAGCACTGAGACTTAGACACTCACTGCCACAGCGACTGAGGAGCAGAGAGGGACTGCGGTGGGGGGAGCACGACCGTTGCAAGAGGGAGAAAACTTTGCCTACAGGCGAGTGCGCTCTTGTGGCGCTCGCACTGCTGTTGCTACGGCGCCATCGCCCAAGGCGGCGTCCCGCGATCACGGGGAGGGCAGAGAGAGCAGCATAGCAGCATGGGGAACTCACAGGGAGCAGCCCAGCCCGGGAAGTGTGGGTATCGAGTACTGGGGGTGCAGCCGAACTCTCCAGCCTCTAAGGTTGGACTCGTCAGCTTCTTTGACTTCATCGTAGCGGCCGACGGTGAGTGGGCCAGTCGGTGCACCAGCAGCAGTGACATGGCGGATGTTTTGGAACAAACAAGAGAGAACATATCCGCGTTTCAGTTCAGCGCGCATCCGACCTCCGTTCCATCCACTCACCATCCGGAGCTTGTCATCGCATCACCCCCTGGTTGTGCTGTGTGGATGAGCTGCAGTCAGGGCCACTGCCGCATGTTTGTGGTCCTTCTTTTTCGGTAATTCTGAGGCAAACATATGCATGAGGTTTCAACGAAGAGCATAGTCTACACGCAACCTGAAGTCTATTTAAGGGCGACAACATTTAGTCTACAGAGTGGTCTGCAGGAGGTATCGGAAGCACCACCGTTCCGTAGTTGGGAGACTGATTCCGCTGTCTCGAACACGGCTGCTGGGTAAATTACATTTAGGTGGGATACCCACGCGTTGGTAGGGCGCACAGGAATGGCCGTTCGCCTCGCCATCCTCTCCAGCTTGACGCAGAACGCTAGGCGCCATAAATCCAATCGAAACGATGAAAATGAGCTTCACGCCGCCACAAGAAGGTAGGTCCTTGTAAATGAGTTCGGGAACAGCAGATGAATGCGCAGAATCGCATCACACATTGTTTTGCGTGTAGATATGCATACGCATGCGCGGGAGATTTAGCTGACAACACCTCGTCCGCATTATTGTTGTTGTTGGCCGTTTTCGCCGTGGCTACCCTTGTTGGGTTCAAAAATGTCGCAAATGACTGTAAAGTTTTTTTTTTTCTCCCATCATTGGACTCTGTCGTCTGCCCCTCTGGCCCCTATCCTGCACTTCTACCAGCTAGACGACCCAACCGGGGTCA